CACAACTCTCGAACATGAGGGATTTTAGTAGCAACTCTTTGTTTCAAAGATCATAAATTGACCCTTTCGATGTTGTTTCGGTACATGATCTTAAAACCTTAGGGGTGTTACTAAAGTATCTTGCTAAGTTATCTTTGTAATTGTACGATAACCCTCGATTGTCCCTCAAACATTCGACAATAGGGCTACCTACTCACTAATACTAGGATAGCACTGTCTAAAGGAAAAGAGGAAAAGAACAAACCTTTTCGAGTAGGTAGATAGCTCTTAGATGCTTGTTCAAGTAAAACAACTTTTCACATATACACTCCTTTCTAAAAATATTTTCAAAGACACTTTGTATACGTTCTCCATGATACGAGAAACATTACAAAGTTTGCCGCACTAAGGCATCTTTTCAAAATACATTTTCAAACACACAAACACAAGACATTTTCAAATGAGCTGGCATCTAAGAGCTCGTAGATAACTATGGATGAAAAGGGTGCTAACACCTTCCATTTGCATAATTTACCCCCTTACTCAGAAATAATCTCAAAAGGTCTTTTTTGTTCTTTTCACCCTTTTCTTTGTTGGATAAAAGAAAAGTCGGTGGCGAATCTTGCTTACCGCAACATTTGCGGATAAAAAAAATGCAAAACCGGTATAACAGTCGATTCTTCAACCGTATTACAGTTATCATCAAAACTCTTACAAGGGTTGTAGAATCAAACTATGTTCTAACATCTCTCTCTCTCTCTCTCTCTCTCTCTCTCTCTCTCACACACACACACACACACAATTGCTCTTTATTCATCTCTATTTTCCTCAATTTGTAAATAAATTTGTAATTAAGTTATCCAACAAATTGGTATATAGAGCACATGTTCAATCTTCAATCTCCATCTATGACAAATGGTAGTACAACCTCCAAATAATTTCCAACCAATCTAGTAGTTTTAAAGGGGGAAAACTAAGATAGATGGTGCACGCAGATGAAATTGATATTCAGATTTCAAGTTGTGCTTGAAATCATGCATGATGGTTTTTTGGCATTAGAGACAAATGCTATTGAGGCGCAAAAAGTTGCTTGGTTTAAAATGAGCAAGAAAGATGGAAAATACATGTTTTTGATCCATCAATATATGGTTTCAAATATCTTTGAGAAGATCATTGAGCAAAAACAACCAAAGATGTGTGAGATGCTCTCAACAAATTATATGGTGGGGATGAGAAATTGAAGAAAGTAAAGATGTTATCTTTGATAAAATAATATGAGAATCTTCAAATATATGATGGTGAAGCCATTGTTGAGTTATTCTCAGTGTTGCTGACTTTGAAAAACCATAAAAAGTTGTGTAAAGAGAAGATCTTTGAACTACAAAAAGTGGAGAAGGTGTTGAGAACTATTCCTACCAAGTTTGATATCATTGTTGTGACCATTAAAGAGTCTAAAGATTTGTCAGAGATAAAGCTTGAAAAATTGCAAGTATCTTTTGAGGCACATGAGTTGAGGCTGAAATAGAGAAATTTAGAAAAGGTGTCTAAACAAACTTTGCATGACAAATTCTTCAAGAAAATGAAATAAGATTCCTCAAATAGCAACAAAGTTAAAGAATAATGGAAGAGGAGTGGAATAAAGATATTAGAGTTTATTGTAAATATAGAAAATATATTATTAGAGTTTATTATAAATAATTACTCATTAGTTGTTGCAGATTATTAGGGATACTCATTAGTTAAAGATTATTAGGGATATATTCATGTATATATATTGTACCCAAATTAATGAGAAGGCACCGCCTATATTTATTCCTCTATGATGGTATCAGTAAGCTTCAATATTGATCTCTCTCACTAAAACCTAATTTCGCCCTCCCCCATTAACGTTAATCTCTAAATCACATCCCCCCTTCTCAATCGTATCTTTTTCCCCTCCCTTCTCCCATGGCCGACGAAAATAAAAACCATTATTCTACCCACTCCAGTAAAAATGATTCCACGATTCAATTTCATTCCTAACTCCTCTCACTCTTACTCTTATTCATCTTGCTTTATAGGTGCCTAACATCACAAACTTCATTAAAATCACAATGAGTATTGAAAAAGGATTGTATAATACGTGGTCCAAACTATTCAAAATTCATGCACGTGTTTATCAAGTGATTGATCATATAAACCACACCCCCTTTACAACACACGCAACTCCTTCATTCAAAGACATTATCCTAAACTTTGGATTATCCTTAATGATGTTGTGTTATAGTTATATAAGACACAATATTTAACGACCTTCTCAATACCACCATTGAACATAACTCTACTGCAGAACTTGCTTGGAACATGATGTTTTACATATTTTATGACAACAAATAATCTAGGGCTATTTACCTAGAGCAAGAGTTTTAACGCACTCATATGGAACAATTCTCTTATGCATCCTCTTATTGTAAGCATCTCAAATCCCTCTCCGATCAACTATCTAATATTGGGGCTCCTATCTCCAATGAAAGTATGGTCCTCTGACTCATATCAGACCTAATTGATGCCTATGCTACTATAGGCTCACAAATTCTTCACAGTGACTCTCTTCCACCATTTTACAAAGCACGCTTCATGATCATCTTAGAAGAAATATCTAGCGCGAAAAATGCAAACAACACAATTGACAACACTTCCTTCATCGCCTCACACATTGATGCATTAGCTTCCACTCCTTCCAACTGTATCAATTGTGGTGGAGGTAATAGCAATTGTGATAGAGGAGGAAATGGCCGCGACTGTCGTGGCTAAGGACAAAACAATAGACGTGGTGAAGGTCACTGTCAATATCCACAATGGACTTTATAATCCTACCCACATCAGTAGCAGTAATAGACTTATCCATCATATCCTAAATAGGATTAATAGTGCAATTTTTCACCATGGAAACAACCTTGGTTTACTCTACCATGTTCGTACTGAACAACTGGAAACTCGAACAAGCAAGTTGCTATTCTTGGGTAAAATCCAAATCATCAGGCCCATGTAGCGACCACTACAATGTACCACCTAGTCATCAGGGATCCTCTCAATATGCCCCAACATACATTCATGTTGTTATGCATACATTATATATTTTTCCTCCAAATGATCAATGGTATATGGACACCGGGAATACTTAGCATATGATGGAGAACAAAGGTAATCTTATGAATTATTTTAATACGGGAAATAATATTACTATTGGTACTAGTTATAATATTCTGATTATTGGTTATAGACATGCATCATTACCTAGCTCTCCATACTCTTTCAATTTACACATTGTATTACATGCCCTTAAACTAATAAAAAAATCACGTCGTTAGAAGTGTACTATTGATAATGATGTTTCCGTTGAATTTAACCCCTTTGGTTTCTCTGAAATATTTTCATACAAGAATGCATTTAATGAGATGTAACAACTCTGACGACCTCTACCCACTTATCATCGAACCTTACTCTACAACCTAGCCACCGTCTACCTTTACCGTATCACCTAATAAAGTATGACACAACCGTTTATGACACCTTGGAACACATGTCTTACAAGTAATAAGTTTTGGAACAATTTCTTTTGTCATTCTTGTCCCCTTGGGGAAACATATAAAATTTCCTTTTACAAATTCTTTATCTTATACTTTAATGTCTTTTGATATTGTCGATAGTGATGTTTGGACATCACATGTTCTTAGTTCAAGAGGACACCATTATTATATTTTATTTTTAGATGATTTCACGAATTTTTTGTGGAGAGTTTGTAATTTTCTCCTCAAAATTGTAATTGTATGAGAGAGTTTGTAATTTTCTCCTTGTGAGTTTTAAAGACAACTCCTTTGAAAAGAACAATATTTCACATCAACCAAATGATCCAAACGGAGGCCATCCAAATCACACTAAGAGTTTATCTATCAAACTTATTTTTCACCTTCTGGCCGAATAAGAAATAGTCTACAAACTTTTCAAGAGACAAGTCCAAGTTGTTTCCTATCCAAGACATAACCTTTTTCCAAATTCTTCGTGAATTCACACAAACCAAAGAGATGCATCTTAGATTCAACTTCCCTAAAACAAAAAACACATCAGGTATCTCTAGCATCCGTCAAAATACCCTTTTTTACCAATTGTTTTCAGTAGGAATCCTATTGAAAATAAATCTCCACCCAAAAAGCGAAATGTTCGACGGCACCTTAACCCCCCACAGATGAGATAAAGCGTTCAAGACATCTACTGAAATCAAACTTTCATTAGACACCAAAATGAAAGTATCAAAGCATGACTTTATCGAGAAAGAGTCGTTGTCTTCTCTCATCCAAACAAACTCCTCATTCGTATTCTGCACTAACACCACCTTCGACAACATCTCTTTGATTTTCTCCCAATGAATGCAATCGACTCCATCTAGTTTAGACACGATGTCCTGAAACTTCGAGGACCAAGAATTTCCAAACCACAAGACTACAACCGCCACACTAAACTATAAATTAACAATGATCGACTATAAGTTTTCAGACAATTTATATTCTATCATCTATTTTTACTAAACAGAAACAATTTTATAAAATCAAGTTAGGCAAAATTAGTTATCTTTATTGTAAAACCAAACACACTCTAAGGTGTACCGTGAGAATGAAATCAGAAAGAATGTTTTTTTATTTATTTTAAATGTGAGTTTATTTGAAAGTATAAACTAAATTAAACTAGCAAAGAGCACTGTTTTTCCAAAGTGTAAAGCCAATTTCGTTGCTACTTTCCGTTTTTTTGCTTTAAAGACAGAACATAAGCTTATAAAAGCACCCTCTATAAGCTTCACACTTTCATTGAAACCACTTGCTTCATTCATTTTTATTACTTCACAAAATGAAACATTCTAAAACCTTTTTCCACTTCTCTTTTCCTATATGCAATTACACATAACAAATACCTTTCTTTTTTCTTTTTTAGTCAGAAAACAAAGTACAAAAACATAAATTAAGAACAGACAATTAAGGTTTAGCTCCATGTCTGACTCAAACATAACTTTCTACTGTCTTTCATCCATTCTTTCTCTTCTTCTCATCTTCATTCTCATCAAAAGAAAACAAACCAAACCCAAACTCAATCTTCCTCCAGGAAAAATGGGTTGGCCTTTTCTTGGTGAAACCATTGGTTACTTGAAACCTTATTCTGCTACAACAATAGGTGAATTCATGGAACAACACATAGCAAGGTAAAAAATTTATTAAAAAAAAAAAATACATTTTTTTAGAGAAACAAAAATGACCCTTTTAATGATTCTATTTCTAACTAGTAAATTGTACACAGGTATGGTAAAATTTATAAGTCAAAATTGTTTGGTGAACCAGCTATAGTTTCAGCAGATGCTGGGTTGAATAGGTTCATATTACAGAATGAAGGAAAATTATTTGAGTGTAGCTACCCTAGAAGCATTGGTGGAATACTTGGGAAATGGTCTATGTTGGTTTTGGTTGGTGACATGCACAGAGACATGCGTGTTATATCTCTCAATTTTTTGAGTCATGCTAGACTTAGAACACATCTTTTGAAAGAGGTTGAGAAACACACTCTTCTTGTTTTGAGTTCTTGGAAGGAAAAATCCTCATTTGCAGCTCAAGATGAAGCCAAAAAGGTAACAATAGTTTCTCTTTTGTTTCTAGTATATTACAGTGTAGCAGATTCAAACTCGCGCATCTGCAATCTGATGTCTCTGTACTGTTATCAACTGAGTCTGAGTTTGTCTTGATTGAATTGCAGTTCACATTTAATTTAATGGCAGAGCACATTATGAGTTTGCAACCTGGGGAGATAGAGACAGAGAAATTAAAGAAAGAGTATGTTACTTTTATGAAAGGTGTTGTATCAGCACCATTGAATTTTCCTGGAACTGCATACTGGAAAGCATTAAAGGTAGTAACAAATAATGATGATGTTTTTTTTTTTTGTTGTTGTAATAATTTAAACAGCCTCATTTTTGTTACTATATTTATTGTTTGTTTGAATGTTACCTTATTTTTTTTACAGTCTAGGTGCAAAATATTGAAGTTGATAGAGGAAAAAATGGAAGCAAGGATGAAAAGAATGAAAGATGGAAATGAAAATTTGGAGGAAGATGATCTTTTGAATTGGGTTTTGAAACATTCAAATCTTTCAACAGAGCAAATTCTTGACTTGATTCTGAGTTTGCTTTTTGCTGGCCATGAAACTTCTTCTGTTTCTATAGCTTTGGCTATTTACTTTCTTCCTGGTTGCCCTCAAGCTATACAACAGTTAAGGGTAAGTGATCACTATCATTTATTAAATCAATTTAATATGAAGTATTTATTTATAATAATACTAGAAGAGAGTATTATTATTATTATTATTATTATTTTAATGCTAATAGTAATAATTATTTTTTGTTCTATGTTGTAAAAAAATAATAGGAAGAACACAGAGAAATTGCCAGAGTCAAAAAGCAAGCAGGGGAAACAGAACTGACTTGGGAAGACTACAAAAAAATGGAATTTACTCATTGTGTAAGTCATATATGATAAATAAATTACAAGGGTATTCTTGTACTTTTCAAAATGTTTGCAACATAGCATCATTAGTGGTTTAAACAAAGAAGAAAAATACATAAACTTTACCTAAAGTGTTGTATATTTTATATGCATAATAACATTATTAGTTGCTATGATTTTTTTTTTTACAGGTTGTGAATGAAACACTTAGGCTAGGTAATGTTGTGAGGTTCCTTCATAGGAAAGCTCTTAAAGATGTTCGGTACAAAGGTACATTAGTACTATGAATAAATTCTTTTTTAAGTAGTAAGTTCAAAATTTCTTTAGTGAGAAAAAGGAATATGGAATATTTATAGTAAAGAGAAAATTCTGTTTTTTTTTTGTGTTTTAAAGGTTATGATATTCCTTGTGGGTGGAAAGTCCTCCCAGTTATTGCAGCCGTGCATTTGGATCCATTACTTTTTGACCAACCTCAACACTTCAATCCATGGAGATGGCAGGTTTGTTTTTTCTACTTAATAACATTGGACCTAATTTGCTTTCTTCACAATAGATTATTTTCAATTCACATATTGTTAAAAAAAGAAATGAATGTTATGTAATTATTAGGAAAAGGGGAAAAAGAATAATAATAGTATATGAGTCCCCAAGCACTTAAATTTGTTATCGTAGTGGATACCCACTTGAAGGTCACATAACTTTGAAGGGTTGGGATTTTTGCCAAAAATGTAACTTGGTATTGGGTCATTTAGCTTCATAAGTTATTATCTTGCTACTTTTAACAACACAACAAGTTTTTACGTTTGGTGCTTCAAAATCAGACCAAACATAAGGTACACACGATGCACGGATTTGACAAATTAAACACAAAAATGAAATTAATGTTTAAACCTTAAATTTGACTTGGTCCTATAGTTATAACACACTTTAAATCACCACCAATGCACATGCTTTAAAACCTCACCTAAAAAAAAATCACATACTCTAAAGTTCTAAAATTCTATATATTCTATATATTCTATAATCTATACTAGAGTCTTAACTATAAATTATTCAGTGTCAAGTGTTGGGTCACTATTAAGATATGCTTAATTATTTAATACACCTCCCTCAACCAATGTTCATTGCTAAAGTAATGATTAGAGTTCATAATAATTGTCTTCAAGTATTATTAACATTTTCTTTGACTAAAATAATGATGTAGGGAATATTGATTTACAAGTTTCTTTTTAATGTACACCATAAGGGAGTACTATACAATTTTACCTTTGTTTTTTTATATAGTGATATAGATACTGTGTTAGAAGTCAACTATCACACAGAGGATCAAGTGGGTCTATACCATGCATGTGCTTAAAGTTTTAATTTGATTTTCTTGTTATTTTAAGCGTATGTTGAAACTTTAGTTTTTAGAATATCTCATTCCATTCTAGACGTGTGCTTCTCATTCCAAACGTGAATCCAAATAAGTTTTGAGAACAGGTTTAGAAAAACACAGTCAAAATAACTCTAAACGTAAGAAAAAGAATAATATATTTATTTATTATAATACAACTACTCTTAATATATTGAAAAATACTTTTTGAAGTAAGAGAGAGAGAGAGAGGAACCATACCCTACCCTAGTGATTAGTAACATTGGCATTTATTTGATAGATGATGAAGTGTCATGTCATGTCATGGTCAGCGATGGGTATGTTGTGAACAGTATAGTACTATTATACGGATGTAGTAGGTCCCACAAAAGAGGGATACTATAATATGCTGCTATGACATTGGTATGATGATGATGATGAGCAAGTATGGCTGTTTAGTGAACGTGTGGGCAGGTCCACCTCTTTTATTCATGCCCATGTGGAACTGGCCCTATCACTTGCACGTGCATTTCTTCCTTTTCTCTTTTATTTTTTCATTCATAATCCACCTAACTTAATCTACACGTGTCAACTCCCAAAAAATCAACTCAAATATTATTCCCTCCATTTTTTTTTTTTTTAATTTAATGAATAATAACCAGAACAAGTATATAGTAACAATTTTACGTAACAAGTGGAAAAATTGATGAGTTTGTAGATAACACAATTATGATTTAGAAAAGTACTGTAGTCCCATCCAACATCAGAAATCATCAATCTTATTACATTTATTTGTTTATCCATACCTTGATCGAGTGTATGGCCACGCCTGCATGTGTCAGTCATCATTTCATGTTTTATTCTATATATTCATTAATCTTAATTTTTACGACCTCTTTTTTTAATGATGTTACTACAAAATAAAACTATTTGATATTGATGTTTTTTTTGTGCAGAATAATGGAAATTGCTCCAACGCAAGCAGTAATAGTAATAATAATAATAATTTCTTACCGTTTGGAGGAGGACCACGACTATGTGCAGGATCAGAATTAGCTAAGCTTGAAATGGCTGTTTTCATCCACTATCTCATCCTCAACTACCATTGGGAGTTAATTGATAATAATGATCAAGCTTTTGCCTACCCTTTTGTCGATTTTCCTAAAGGCCTACAAATTCAAGTTCAACCTCATTAATTATAAGTTCAATTAGTTATTAGCTTACACACCACATGCTACCTACTAGCTATATACATGTGTATTGAATTTGGAGGGGTTTGGATCTGAATTAAGTTATTTCTTTCGGTAGTTCACACACAATTGAAGTACAAGGGCATTGTTAATAGGACTGTTTTCAATTTTTTATGGTTTCTTCTTCCTCTAGGCTCTATTAGGTTTTCGATGCTTGTTACCCTACCAACATTGTAGCATTGTACATTTTATATGTTCCTTTCCTTGAGGCTAGGACCACGAGTGAATACTTATTCCTTTGTATTATTATCTCACTATTGTCATCTACTACTCTTATTATATATAAAAATCCAATTATCTTTTGTGTACAAACTATGTTGTTCTATGGCGGATATTTTTGTTTTTGATAAATAAAAAATTCTATAAGCTATATTGATTTAGGAGAGATTTATCTAGTTCACATATGAGAAAGTGAATCAATATTCAATGGAGAATCGTGTTGAAGGTTTCAATGTTTTGATATTTCAATCAGGTCAATGAATATTTAATATTATAATAGTGTGTATTAAAAAATGAGACAATTCTTAAGACTTTTATATCTCAGGTTTTAAGTTTGAGTCTTATCTTCGAAACAATCCTCTAAGAGACATATGTCCTCAAATTTTGATCAACATTAATTCGATGATTAAATTAGTTTTGTGGGACGTTTGGACTTTTTGCTAATAAAAATATTTCATTATTATACTAACTTCACAAAGGCTTAATAATGGAACATTTTATACAACAAAAGATCTAAATGTCCCGCGAAGCCAGTTTGACTAGTGTCTCCTCCTACTTAAGTTTCACTATTGTTACTACTTTGTTTCCAAACAACTTACTCAATCCAACCTATTCCGCAGATACCATTTCTCCCTTTCCCTTCTTTATTGTCTTATTATTTTTTATTGATGACCTTGGGGGTAATCTATTGAACATAAATGAAGATGTTTGGGCAATTCTTCCATATCGGACGTTTACAAAAATCCTGACATTCTTAATGATGAGTCTCTGGAAGTCAATGATCACATTCCTAATTTGACTATTCTTAGAGAAAGCTCTAAGACTAGAGTGAAGGGAAATAGCGATTTAAAACGGAGTGGAAAATAATTTTTTTTCCCTTAAGTTGATCCTTACGAATGATGCATGATTAATGATAAAATGATTATCTCTTGTGGCGATTAACACCTTTGATGCAGAATAAGAGGAATGATCACGAGCGTCGAATGAAGAACAATGCTTCTATTCAATCCACACAAATATAGTGCCTTCGATCTCAGTGCTAGCTGCTACGAATGAAGACTTTATGTGTGTGTGTGTGTGTGTGTGTGTGTGTGTGTGTGTGTGTGTGTGTGTGTGTGTGAGAGAGAGAGAGAGAGAGAGAGAGAGAGAGAGAGAGAGAGAGAGAGAGATTACGGCTAGGGTTTCATAAATCGGATTTTATCAAATGTGAAAGCTTGAGTTCTGTTTATAAAACCACTTATGTGGGTTGCAAGATAAAAAGCCCACTTAAGTGCATTGTACCTTATAATATACCGTATTTCACTTAAGCGCACTGTACCTTACGGTGTTTTACAATTCACTTAAGTGCATTGCACCTTTATAGTGTTCCGTAATTCTTTTAAGTACATTATATCTTACGGAATTTCTTATTTATTTTATCTCTCATCAATTTATCCTTATGTGTGTGACCCTGTATATTCTCGTGACGTTGATGATTATATTAAATCGTACATTTAATATAATAAAGAATGAGCGGTATCTAGCAACACATCACTGCTACCAAAGTCACAAAAATATCATGTGATTTGACAAAACCTCTATGTGATAAAACTTGTATGTATGATTACCCTTTTACCCTTATATCTATATTGAACACAAGAAATAGACTGTGTCACTCTTTTCTAGTTCAATATTGGGCCCTTAGACATTTATCCTGTTACGCAGGATGGAAAATTTTCATTTAGGTCACCCATGTCCCTCGATATGCTTTGAAGAGAATACATCAATTGTCTTTATGATCATCCAGTTATAGACAATGTTTGATCATTAATAAAGTACCTGACTCCACATCTAGGTTCCATAGTGGTATCAGGTCGAAGGATGACATACACCATTATCACTATGAGAATAACTTATGACACTTTGCATAACATTCTATGTAGTATTCTCATAGCGGATTAATTCCGTATAAATATTACTCATAATACCCACACCTACGTTAAGACTTGATAACTCTTTATTTATGATCCATGAGATGTGATCATTTGTCTATCCACATAATAGTCGCAATGCTTTAATGTTATTCCATTTCACAATAAATCTCGACTTCAGATACTTTAAGAATAATGCCCTTATGTTTAATGTGATCTCATGATTAAGTCAAATTTAACATTTCATTACATAGACTAGCTATTCTAGAGACTTTATTATTTTAGAAAAACAAACATAATAAAGAAATCCAATTTTAATTATTAATAAATAATCTTATACAAGTACCAAGTTCTAATAAAAATATTGGCCTTTAGGGCTTACACCAATAATTTTCCATTATCACTAGAGCCAGTTAGGCATACCCCTTATACCCATATATCTAGTATGACAACCATGTTTCTGTTTTGCAAGAGGCTTTGTTAGTGGGTTAGCAACATTGTCAAGTGTTAATACTCTGCATATATTTACATCTCCTATATCTATTATCTCTCAAATTAGGTGATATCACCTAAGTATTTGTTTAGATTGTTGATGAGATCTAGACTCCTTAGTTTGTGCGATAGCACCATTGTTATCACAATAGAGATCCATGAGATCCACAATGCTAGAGACTATGCCAAATTCACTAATGAACTTATTGATCCAAAAACTTCATTTGCTACATTTGAGGCTGGAATATACTCGGCCTCGGTTGTAGATTTAACAATTGTATCTTGCTTTGAACTTTTCTAGTTCACAATGCTATAATTTAAGCAAAACACATAACCAGATTGTGATCTAAAGTCATCCGTATATGTCTGGAAGATAGCATCGGTGTATCCAATTACAACGAACTCTTCCTAACCTCCATATATCAAGAATGAGTCTTTAGTATTTCTCAAGTACTTAAGGATATTCTTGACAACAACCCAATAAGTATCATCGAGATCAGATTGGTACCTACTCGTTGCACTTAAAGCATACAAGACATCTGGTCGAGTACATAACATGGCATACACGATAGATCCTATTGCACATGCATATGGAATCTTATTCATTTGATCCCTTTATTCCTTGGTTGAAGGGAATTATGTTTTTGATAGACATAGGCCATGTTGCATATGTATGAATTCTTTATTGGAATTGTGCATATTAAAGCGTCTCAACACTTTATCTATATATGTACTCTAACTTAGGCTAAGCATTTCTTGTGATATATCTCTATAAATCTTGACTCCTAATATATAAGTTGATTCGGCCATGTTCTTCATAGAAAGGCATTTCCCTAACCAAGTTTTCACTTGCTGCAAGGTAGGGACATCATTTCCAATGAGTAATATGTCATCTTCATATAATATTAGGAAGATGATCATGTTCCCACTAACCTTCTTATAGACACAGGGTTCATATTCGTTTTTGATGAATCCATATTGTTTTACTGTTTCATCAAAATAAAGATTCTAGCCTTTGGAATCTTAATTCAATACATAGATTGATCAATGTAACTTGCATATCCTTTAGGCTTCTTCTGGTATGTCAAATCCTCCAAGTTGTATCATGTACACATCTCCAAGAAAATTCTTGTTAATGAAAGCAATTTTGACATTCATCTGCCATATTTCATAATCCTGATATGTAGTGATAGCAAGTAAAATCCAAATAGATTTAAGCATTGGAATTGGTGAAAAGGTTTTATCATTTTCTACTCCATGAATTTTCTTATATCCTTTAGCAATCAATCTTGCCTTATAGGTATGCACCTTACCATCCATGTCAGTGTTCTTTTGAAGACCCATTTTGCATCCTTTAGGTCCAAATTTGATTTGTGTACATGGAATTCATTTTAGATTCCATGGCTTCTAGCCACTTCTAGACCCAGGATCAATAATTTCCTCTTGCTAGGTTTCATGCTCATCTTGATCCATGAGTAATATATATCCTTGATCAGTCATGAGATATCCATATCTCTCAGGTTGATGGTGTATCCTGCTTGACCTACAATGGTCTTATTCTACTTGAGCAAGTTGCTCTTCCACAACTACTTGTGTTTCCTGCTCTAGTTCATCCATAGGTGTATCAATGCTTAATGATTTTTGAATTTCTTCAATCTTTACTTTCCTCCCATAGTTTCCTTTGAAAATAAAGTCCTTTTACAAGAAAAATCTAGTTCGAGCGACAAAAAATTTTCTCTCAGAAGGATTGTAGAAGCAATACCCTCTTGTTTCTTTTGGATACCCCAAAAATAATTATTTTTCAAATTTGGGCTCAAACTTAGTTGGAATTTGTCGTTTCATATAAACTTCGCAACCCTAAATATTCATGTTACACATATGTGGTTTCTTACCACTTCATATCTCATATGTTGTCCTCTTAATCTTTTTGGATGAAACACAGTTAAGTGTGTAAGCTGTTGTCAATAGAGCATGTCCCCAAAATGAGTTTGGAATATCAGTGTGACTCATCATGGATCAGACCATGTATAACAAGGTTAAACTTATTATCTCAGATACACCATCCCATTGTGGTATTCTGGGAGGAGTAAGTTTGGATAGAACCCCACACTCTTTTAGATGGTCATCAAACTCTAGGCTTAATTATTCACCACCTCGATCTAATCGAACATTTTTAATATTCTTACCTATTTGGTTTTGTACCTCATTCTTGAATTCCTTAAACTTTTCAAGGGACTCATATTTGTGTTTCATTAAATACACATAAACATATCCACTGAAATCATCAGTAAATGTGATGAAGTATTGAAAACCTTATTTGGATGC